ACACACACACACACACACACACACACACACACACACACACACATACACACACACACACACAGGTGTGAGAAACTGAGGGCCATTTCTGTAGCAGTGTGCTATTGAGGATGCTGGAATCTCAGTATCTGTGGTTCTCAGGAAATAAGGGCCCTTTTGTCCCAGCAAGCCTTATTTGACTTTTTTGGTGTTTGTTTGGGGTTGGAGGAGTAGGACAGCAGGACATTTTTGCGAAGTGTTCTCTTAGTCAATTGGCAAATAAAAAAAAATAGGCCTATTTTCTTATTTTATTTTCTTCTGTAGTTTGTAGTTTTATATCTCCTGTCAAAGTAAAATTTTCACATTAGTGTAATAGAAAATGTGGAAAATACCAAAGATAGAGGAAATTATAAAGAAGAAACCACCCATGAGTTTGCTACCCAGAGACAACCCTTGTTATTGTGGTTGAAATAACACTGTATATGCAATTGTATATCCTACTCTATTTATTTTTTGTCTTTTTTAATTAAGGTAATGTATAGCAAATAAAATACTATGGAGGAGTTCAGGATGAAAAGCAATGTTCTTCTGTTTCTGCTTTCCCCATCTTCAATTATGTGCCTGAAAAGCAACCTCATAGTTTTTATTTTCCTGGTATATACCTCTAAAACTCAAGACGATAGAATTTATACCACTAGTTCTTCTTTAATCAAATTCTGTTGTGCCCTTAGTATTTCTCCAACCCCCAGCCTTCTATAAATCATTCATTTTTATTTATATTATAAAGCTTGTTAACATATACATTTTCTTGTGATTAATAGTCTATATTTACTGGAAATTGAGTATAAAATTGAAAATCAATGCATATATTTGACTTATTAAATTAATATCTGTTAAATATGTTCCTGTGCCATTGTTTATAAATAATATTTTAATGGCTACAAATGCCTATTTTATGGATATACCTAATTTCTTTAATCTGGAGGCATTTAAGCTATTGTTTATCATAATTAGCGACAACATTTAAGGTGAGCATCTTTATATATAAATGTATATCTGGCAACTTGCTTAGGATGGATCCCAATGAAATTTTCGAAAGGTCAAACTATATGAGAATGAATGGTGAAAAGTCTCCCTTCTACCTCTTTTCCAATTGATTCTTATTTTCCTTTCAGAGATAATTTCTGCATATCCAAATACATGTATATATTGTCTTTTCTCCTCTTTTTATTCAATTGGAAATTTACTGTTTTATTAAGCTATTTTGCTAATGTGACTAAAAGACCTGACCAGAAAAACTGTAGAGGAGGAAAATTTTATTTGAGGGCTCATGGTTTCACATGTCTCAGTCCACAGACAGCAGGCTCCATTCCTGGGGTCTTGAAATGAGGCAGAACAACATGGCAGAAGAGTGTGGCAGAGAGAAGCAGCTCACATGATGATCAGAAAGCAGAGAGAGACTCCACTTTCCAGATACAAAATATATATCCTAAAACCAAGGCCCGATTCCCACTTCCTGCAGCTACACCCTATCACTTCAATTTCTACTCAGTTAATCCCATCAGGGATTAATTAACTTATTGGGTTAAGGATGTAACTCAATCATTTTTCCTCCAAACCTCCTTGTATTGTGTCACATGTGAGCTTTTAGGGGATACCACATCTAACCCATAACATTTACTTATATACTCTATTAGTTTTTGATTTTTCTCAATAATGCATCTTAGAAATTATTTACATTCCCACAAGCAGTGCACAAGAGTGGCTGTTTCCCTTTACATTTGCCAACGCAGTTTCTTAATGTAAACATTTTAAAAGCTCTTGATACATACAAGCAAATTACTTTCCCAAAAGGTTGGGACAATTTACCTTCCCACCAGCCATTTGTAAAAATGCCTATTTATGGAATCCTTGCAGGCACTGAAAATGTCAGGAAGAGTGCTTGCATTTGAGTAACAGGAACCTGTCAAGCATCCTTAGTGTTTAGTCCCTAGGGTAGAGCTGCTTTAGTTGATGTCCATGGACTTTTGGATCCTTGAATCTCCTACATTGTATTAAAAGTTTATGTAAATGTACACACATATTTGTATATATTTCTCTAGTTAAAACATTATCACATTTTCAAAACAAGTCTAAAAAGATTTCAGTGTTCTACCAAAGATATTTTCACTGAAAATCAGGAATAAGACGTATGTCCATTAGCCCTTCTGTTATTTAGCATTGGTTTTGAAGTTCTAGCCAGTATAATTAGGAATAAAGCAGAAATAAGGACTGTGTAATAAATTAAGAGAAAATGTCATGATGATTTGGGGATCCCAGGATGGGAATCCTGTTCATTTTTGTCCATTGTTTTCACTAGAGCACCTTGCATAGTACTAGCAAAAGGGTGATGTTTAGTAAATATTTGACAAGTGAAAGAATTTGTATGATTGTATAATAAATATAAGTAGAAAACAGAAATATGGCATTTTGTACATTAGAAAATGCAAGAGAATTAAAAATGCAAGAGAATTCAGTAAATTGGGCAATCCCTACATATAAACTAGATAGCCACAAACCATGAATTTCTGCATATCAGTAATAATCATAATGTACTAAGAGAAAAAAGACCTTTTTGACAGTAGCAACAATTATATAAAATACCCAAGAATAACCTTAAGAAGACACATGTGGAACCTATGAGAAGAAAAACTTCAAAACTTCACTGATGAACATAAAAGAAGGCCTTAATCAATAGAGGTATACCATATGTCTGGTTACCAAAACTGAGTGTTATTTCCTTTCAAATTAATTTGTACCTTTGACACTATTCTAATCAAATTTTGTGGGGAACTTACTCTAAAAATAATTTTTAAGGGGCTGGGGTTGTGGCTCAGTGGTAGAGCTCTCACATCACACGTGCGAGACCCTGGTTTGATCGTCAGCACCACATAAAAATAAATAAGTGAAATACAGGTATTATGTCCAACTACAACTAAAAAATATTTAAAAAATAATAATATTTTAAAAAGTAAACATAATTAGCTTAAAGAATTTTAGGATAGAAGAGTTGAAAAGAAATTAGCCTTTTTAGACATTTAAATTACACTGACTGGGGATATAGCTCAGTGGTAAAGCATTTATCTAGCATGAATGAAGCCCTGGGTTCAATCCCTAGTACCACAAAAAGAAAAAAAATTCAAGTGTAGATATTTTGAAGTGCTACAATAATCAAATTAATGTTGTTAAAGCACAAGAATTAATAATAATTTTTTTTCATTTTTAAATATATTTTTGTTATGAAAACATAGAAAATTAGACAGGTTAATGCCATGAAAATATAAAACACATATCACCCAAAGTTAATAATGAACATTTTGCTACATTTGCTTTGCTTTTTTTTTTTTTGAGGGCTTTGAAGTGAAATTCCAAACATAATGATATCTGTAGTTCTTCACTGATATTTTAATTGTTCTCTTCGCTATTAAAAATGAAGTATTGAATTCTCTAGCCGTTATTCTTGAAATATCTATTTCTCCCTTTTAAAAAAATTTCTTTAGTTATAGGTGGACACAACATCTTTATTTTACTTTATGTGGTGCTGAGGATCAAACCCAGTGCCTCATACATGCTACACGAGCACTCTACCTTTGAGCCACAACCCCAGCCCATCTATTTCTCCCTTTACTTTGGATTTTGAGGCTCAGTTGTTAAGTTCATACATGTTTATAGGGGTGTGTGTGTGTGTGTGTGTGTGTGTGTGTGTGTGTGTGTGTGTGTAGTACTTGGGATCAAACATCTCAGGGCCTTGTGTATGCTAAGCAGGTGCACTAACACTGAACTACACCCCCAGTCCTCAGACATTATTTCGTCAAATAGTCTTTGTACTCCATTTCTCTCTGAACTTCTGAGACTCCTATGTGTATGTGTTGATAAACTTGATGGTAGGATTACAGGTATGTTCCATCATGCCCAGCCTTTCTTGTAGTTGTTTAGACATGGACTTCTTTAGCCTCCAAAATAATTTACAATAGCTGATTTTAAGTCTTTATCTAGTAAGCCCAACTTTGTTTAGGAAGACAGACACAGTATCTTTTGTTTTTTGTTTTTTCTTATGTATGCCTTAGTTTTCCTTTTGCATTGTATTTCTTATAATTTTGTTAATAATGAGATATTTTAAATATGATGGCAGCTCTGGATTCTCCTTACTTTGCTCCCCAGGGTTTATTTTGTTTTTGCTTATTGCCAGTGTAACTTGTTTAGTGACTTTTTTGAACTAATCCTATAAAGTTTGTATTCTTATTTGTGAGTAAATCTCTACTCAGGTAGCTTTCTGGTCATCTAATGTTTTGACAGATTTCCTTAAATGCCTGGGATTAGTGAATCTTCCAGTGTTGCCAAGGGCCTCTGTGTGCATGTTGGGGCAGCACTCAACACTCAGCCAGCCACTTTATAACTCTCCTTTAGCTTTCACTTTCTGCTTGTGCAGAGCCTCAGAATCAGCCAGGGGTGCATGCTTAGGACCCTTTCATGTCTTTCACAGAGCCTTTGTACATGCATGTGACCTTCTAGATTCCCCAAAGTATGTGAGAGCTTTTCACATTTCCTATGATCATCTCATTCCTCAGCTTCCTTTTAAGCCTTTGGATTAATCTGTTTGTCACAACTATTATGCATCACCTTAAGTAGCTGTGACATTAAGTACTTGCCTTTAAACATTTTCATGAATTCCTCCTAGGGGAGAGGCTTTTAGTGCTAGGCTTTGAAAGAAAGCTCTAACTGCTTGCTACTGGGAATGTGGAGTGTTATTTTTCAAGGATACCACTGAGCTAGGGGAAGGTGAATGTGTCTAGTTCAAGTAAAAATGCCATAAATCTCCCTGTTCTGAGATTCAGCTATTTGTCTTTGAGTAAATGCTCTCCTAAGTTTCTGAAAGCCTTTGGTTAATTTCTAGAGTTCTGATAAAGCTCTTTGTGACAATTTAAACACAAATTAATTGTAGATGGACACAATACCTTTATTTAATTTATTTAATTATATGTGGTGCTGAGGATTGAACCCAGTACCTCATACATGCTGGGCAAGCACTCTACCACTGAGCTACAACCCCAGACCAACAATTTTTTTTTAATGCCAGGGATTGAACCCAGGAGCACTTGACCACTGAGCCACATTCCCAGCCCTTTTTAAAAAATATTGTTTTAGTTGTAGATGGACACAATACCTTTATTTTATTTATTTTTATTTGGTGCTGAGGATCAAACCCAGTGCCTTACATGTGCTAGGCAAGCACTCTGACACTGAGCTACAATCTCAGTCCCCCCAGTCATCTTTATTTTCAGACACTAGATATTATGACACACCATTTCTCACCATGTATTTAAGTATGCATTTCTAGAAATAGGGACATTTTCTCATATAACAATAATTCCATTATACATAACAAAATTAATGGTTATTCAGTAATTCTTTGATGTTCATCTAATTCTAAGCTGCCACAGTCTGGCTGGGCACAATTCAGGAGCCACTTGTCAAAAGAAACGAACTTTATTTTTAGAACCACATACGCCAAACAAAACAGCTCCTCAGGAAAAACCTTCAGAGCCCAACTGCCACCACCCGCTTCCCACAAGCCTCTCAACCTCCACCCTCCTCCTGCTCTTGAGACCGATTGGCTGGGTCACGTGGGTGGAGCCAAAAAAGTCCCCCAATGAGCAGCTCCATGGTCTGCAAGGGCAGGGAAACAGCCCAATGAGCATCACCGCAGAGGAGCCAATCAGTTGGCAGCTAGAAGTTGCTGGGGCCGCTGTGAGCCAATCATCAGCTGGCAGCTGGAAGTTTGCTGGGGCCCCTTCGGCTGTGGCTCTCAACACTAAGCCAATAATCAAATTTCCTAAATTGTTTAACCAAACAAAGGTACTACAATGAATCTGTTTAAATCAGGATCTAAATAGGGTCCACATGGCATTTGGCTGTCTTGCCTTTCAAGTCTCTTTCTGTGATAGCTGGGCATGATGGCATATGCCTGTAATCGCAGTCACTGGGGGGGGGGGGCTGAGGCAGGATGATTGCAAGTTTGAGGCTAGCCTCAACAACTTAGTGAGGCCCTAAGCAACTTATCAAGACCCTGTCTCAAAATAAAAAAAAAAAATAAAAAGAACTGAAGAATAGGGCATGGTGGTGCATATCTGTAATCCCAGTGGCTTGCTTAGGAGGCAGGAGGATTGCAAGTTCAAAGCCAGCCTTGGCAAACTTGAGGTACTAAGCAACTCAGTTGAGACCCTATCTCTAAATAAAATGCTAAAAAGAGCTGGAGATGTGGCTTAGTGGTCAAGTGCCCTTGGTTTCAATCTCCAGTACCTTGATAAACAAATCCATAACAGTGCTCACTTCAGCAGCACATAACACTAGAATTGGAATAATACACAGAAGATTAGCATGATCCCTACACAAGGATGATGTGCAAATTTGTGAATCATTCCATATTTTTAAAAAATCTAACATTCCCTTTTTGTTTTATCCTATTTTTGTTGTAGAAATGGTATAATGACCCTGTAGTTCATCTTGCCTTCTAGATTTGTCTGTTTATTTCCATGTGACATTGTCTTTTTAAAGAGATTAAGCCAGTTATTTGATATGCAGAATGTTTGCTTCTTTTCTCAAGGTAATATTTAATTTTTTCTTCTGTCCCTATGTTTCTTAAACACTGGAAGTAATATGAATGACTTGCATTATTTTAACACCTTAGCAACTTTCCAGGTGGACCTTTGAATTTTCTGTTGCATCACATCAAGAGGCATATGATATTGTGTTTTCTCACTATTAGTGACACTAAAGTTAGTACATAGTTAATTGTGCTAAGTAGACTAAGGTAATGGTCCCCTGATAGCACGATTTTAAAGTTAGGTTTTGTTCTTGAGACTGGCAAGTTGTCTGTGAATTAATAATTTGGTAGTATGTGAATATGTAATTCTCTAGAATCCATAGTTTCATCAGGGCTTGCAAACTTGTGATTTTTCTAATTGTTATTTATTCTACATTTATTAGCTGGCATTTTTTCTGTAAAGAAGAGCTGTCCCTCCTCATCAAAATAACCTGTTTGGTTATTTTGTAATATTCTTTCTATCGAAAAGATGGGATAAATAACTATTTTTGATTTAATGTGTTAAAGGTGCTACATAAAAGCATTTTGTAAGAGTTATGCCCTTGGGCTGGGGTTGTAGCTCAGTGGTAGAGTGCTTGCCTAGCATGTGTGAGGCACTGGGTTCAATTTTCAGCACCGTTAAATAAATAAATAAACAAACAAATAAATAAATAAATAAAATAAAGGTCTATCGACAACTAAAAAACATTTAAAAAAAATAGTTATGGCCTTGTTCATAGACAAAAAAGCACACATCAACAATATCAGATAAGGTGGTATGTGTTGTGTATCAAGTGACTTGTACAGATCAGAAGTTCAAATGAAGATAAATGGAACCAGAGAAGTTCTAAAAGTTTGCATAGGTATTGTTTTCAATATATCTTTGAAGGGTGGGTAAGTTTTGACTAGGCAGTATGGAAGAGCGTACTCTAGGTAGTGTGGATGATGAGGATGAAGACACAGGGAGAGAGGATGAGCTGTACATACAGTGAGGTATAATAAGGAAGTTATCTGTCTGGAGAAGCTGAGAATATGGATGTCTTAGTCCATTTCTTAAGCTATACCAGAATATCACAGACTGGGTAAATTCTAAACAATGGGAGTTAATTTGACTCATGCTTCTTGGGATGTCCAAGAGCATGATACTGGCATCTGGTGAGGGCTTTGTGCTACATCATGCTATAGCAAAAGGCATCACATAATGAGAGAGCGAGCGAGTATAAGCGAGCTAAAATTCCCTTTATAACTAACTTGCTTCCACAATAACAGCTTTAATCCATTCGTGAGGGTGGTGCTACCATGACCTAATTAGCTCTTAAAAGTTTTACCTCCTAGCCAGGCATGATGGCCCATGCTTATAATCCCAGCGGCTTGGGAGGCTAGTTCAAAGCCAGCCTCAGCAATGGTGAGGCACTAAGCACCTCAGTGAGACCCTTTCTCTAAATAAAATACAAAATAGGGGTAGGGATGTGGCTCAGTGGTTGAGTGTCCTTGAGTACAACCCCTGGTAGTACCCCCCCCCCTGAAAAACAGTTCTGCCTCCTAATACCATTATAGTGACAAATAAATTTCTACAGGAGTTTTGGAGGGCACATTCAAACCATAACAGTGGGTGTGGAAATAAGGATAGGCAGGGGGCTGGGATTGTGGCTCAGTGATAGAGCACTTGCCTAGCATGTATGAGGCACTGGGTTTGATTCTCAGCACTGCATATAAATAAATGAATAAGATAAAGGCCCATCAACAACTAAAGACATTTAAATAAATAAGGGTAGGGAGGAAGGGAGGCCAGGAGCAAAAAACACGGACAACCTTAAATACCCAATCAGGTAGGTGAACTTTTATTCTATTATCAGTGTATGCTTTGAGTATTTGTAAATTATCTACTTACCTTATAGGAAGCAAAACCTGGCTTTGTAAAAAGCTGGAAGCAGGAAGGCCAGTGGAACTACTTTTGGGGAAGTTGAAGGTGGAGAAAATAATTGACATGCAGATAAATGTCTCAGAGAGTGACACCTTCTCCTATTTCCCTTGCAGCCCGTGTGACCCCAACTCTACCCAAGCAGGACCGTCCTGTACGTGAGGGGACCCGAGTTGCTTCCATTGAGACAGGTTTGGCTGCAGCAGCTGCAAAGTTGGCCCAGCAGGTAAGTGCCTGCCACCCAGGTAGTGGCTCTTCTGCTGATCCCTGTTTGACTAAGATCCTCAAAACTCAGACCTTCAAGCTGATAAGATCTCACTATTGTCTCAGTGGGTTGTGGGAAACTTTGATCTTTGTCCTTGGCAATATCCCAGACCCCTACAATATCCTTCATATCCTAGTTCTAAGACAAGCTACTTCCATAGGGTTACATAGTTGACATGATTTAGGACAAAAGAAAACATGAGGCCAGAGAAAAGCCCTTGCTGATATTACTTGCCTTTCTTGGGTATATATATATAAAAAAAAAAAAAACTCAGATCAACATGTCCTTTGCCCCCACATGAAATGCCAAAGAGGTGACTCAGCTGAGTACACTTAAGTCTTTGGTCACCCACCAGTATAGGAATTTGGTCTACTAGAAAGAGGTTTTACTTATTCTCTTTTCCAAATACTATTACCTTAATTTTCATCCCCTGCTTCTAAAGAAAACAGCTATTGTTTTTTTGTCCTAACGGGTCATCTTCACTACAATTAATTTTACCCCTTTAGCATTATACTTTACAAAGTTCTTTAACATATGTAATATGCTCAGAAACCCTAGGAGCATTTAGAGGTAAATCTTCTCATTCTTTTCTTATCAAATTCCTTTAGCTCCTCATGCCACATCCTGTAGTGTGAGCATTATTGAGCTAACTCTAGATTATGTGCTTCCATGTACAATGTCTAATGTAAAATGCCCAGTAGCCTTGTTCAATAGGTGATATTTTCATCATTTTGCAGGTGAAGAAAATGAGGCTCACTTTAAGTGACTAGTCCAGGATAAAACAGCCATTAAATGGAGGAGACAAGATTCATACTCATCCTTTAACTTCAAATTTCATGTTACTTGGATATTTAAATAAAGTGAAATAGTCAAGTGCTTATTTATTTTAGTAATTACATCCTATTTAAATTAAATTTAATAGAATGATGTTTTTCACATGATGGTCTATGGAGCTATAGAGTTTTAAAGAAATGTTTTGGAGGCTATTGTTGGGAACCAGCACAGACTGAGCAGGCCAGGTGGCCCTTCAAAACTTCTTTCTGTTATGTATATCCCAGTGCCATCTAAGGTGTAATTTGAACAAAAGGAGGGGGGGTGATTTACCACTTTAAATAAACAGATGAATTAAAGGTGTGACAACTATTCTTAGTGCCTTTTTAGGAGTAACTTCTATTTATGATGATTAGGGATTACTTCAAAGAACAGGTTAAAATTGGAGAAGGCTTTTCAAGGCTAAACTTTTGGTAGGAGACAGGAAGCCATTCTAGGAGAAGAGAAGTCCTTAGTATATCAAACAAGAACCTCTTCATTTGATCTCTAGTCACTTCTCCTTGCTGACCTCCTGCCAGACTCTCATGCACAGCCTTTGTACCAGCCATACTACACTACAGTACTCTTGATTCATTCCATGTATCAGATTTTTTTCATGCCTTTGTGTCTTTGCACAATCCATTCCTTCTGCCCAGTGTGCTTTTTCCAATGCTTTATCTGACACTCTTGCATACCACCTACCACCACTTTATTTCAGTGGCTTTCTTTGCTTCCACAGCATTCTCTCATGGTGTTTAGGGTGACAAGTATATTTTTATGTGTCCTTTATTAAACTATAAATGCTTCAAGTGTAGGGATCTATTTAACTTGGCATCCCCACTATGGTAAGCATATGTATTTATTCAGTGCTGGGATGAGTGAATGAATGAATGATTTTTTCTGGATTGGAGACTTCATGTTGGGACATGGAATAAAATAAGTAATGGCTAAAATAAAGGGTTCTGGATCTAGCCTACCTGGCTTTGAATCCTAGCAGTACCACTTGGATAAATTATTTAATTTCTCTTTGCTTCGATTTCGTAATAAACTTTCTTAGGATTAAATGAGATTTTGTATGTAGACGGACAGACAGACACACACATACACACACACACACACACACACACACACACACTGTTAATAATGGCACTTTGTATGGAGTAAGTACCACTGGCATGTTAGCTTCCCGTCATCAACATAGGGATTGGCTAGATATAAGTGGCCAGACGGTGGAAGACCATGAATGTAAATCCAGAGCATTCAAACTTGTGGACCTGCTAACACTTTTTTTGGAGGAGGGTGTACTGGGGATTGAACTCAGGGGCATTTGACCACTGAGCCACATCCCCAGCCCCATTTTGTATGTTATTTAGAGACAGGGTCTCACTGAGTTGCTTGATGCCTTGCTTTTGCTGAGGCTGGCTTTGAACTTGCGATCCTCCTGCCTCAGCCTCCTGAGCTGTTGGGATTACAGGCATGCGCCACCATGCCTGGCCTATTAACAGATTTTTGAGCAGGGAAATTGGCAAGGTGAAAATGGTCCTGTAATAAGACAATGTAATCATCTATGAGTGTATCTAGATAAATTATATGAGAAAGAGACTGGCTGCAAAGGAAGAAAAATTTAGGCTAGTTGATCTAGATATGAAGAGATCGTTTCTGGAATCAGATGAGAGAAAAGGTTACAGAAACACCATTCCTGATATGGGTGGAATAGAAGTGTGGCTGAAAAAGATTCTGAAGCCAGATGACTTGGGTCTGAATCCCAACTTGGCTATGTACTTGTCCTGTGACTTTGGCAAAATGGCTTAGCCTTTCTTTGCCAGTTGCTTCATTCTTCAAATGGGATTATATTTCTTCTCAAGTTCTTTTAAGTATTAAATGAGTAACTTTAAAATACTGCCTGGCATGTATTACTAATATTATTATTCTTGTCCCCAGAAATTGCTATGGTAGCCACAGCCTGTCAGATCCTCCGAAGGCAGGAGTAGGTTCGTGTTGCCAAGAGAAGGCAAAGAAATGTAATCACTGAGTTGTTCTTTGTGGCTGTGTAGCATTTCAGAAGGTGAAGTCGTTTACATGCTCTCAGCACCACCTTTCCAGGTTCTCAGGGCTCCAGATGCCCACTATACAGGTACCCACTATGCAGTGGATGGTAGATCCATAGAGCAATGGATGGATGAAATCCAAGATATTGGGAGAAGTGACACAACTCCTTATTCATAACCTCCCATCCAAAATTGAGGTTTTAGATCTGTCTACCTGGAAGATTGTCAAGTCCTCTGTTAGAAGAAAAAGACCAGCAAAATGAAGAAAAGCCATTGTAAGAAATTAAGATAGAATAATAATTTACCACTTGTTGAGTTCCTTCCATGTGCTATGTATTTTTACAGCATTGTTTTATGTAATCTTTCCAACAACCCTGAAAAGTGGACATTATTTTGCTTATTTTACAGATGAGGCAGCTGAGATTCAGAAAGGTTAGTTACTGACTATAGTCATCCAATTTAGGGAGCACTAGCCTGGATTTCAACCCAGGCTTACCTCATTGCAAAGCTAATCATCTTTCTATTCTCAGATGTTCCATTTAAAAAAGTTTTCAGGGTGTGTCTTCAGATAGATCTGGTTAAATATTAGATTCAACTACTTTTCAGCTATTAAACTTTGGAGACAAGTTGCTTTATATTCCTGCTCCTGTTTTCTTATCTGTAAAATGAGGCGTTTTCTTTCTTAGGACTGTTATGAGGATTAAGTAGGTTAAAGTATATAAAGTACCTCAGCTGCTGGTTTAAATTTAATTGTTGTTATAAGCGTTCATGATCCACCTTATTAGTGGTAATTTTAGGACCCAAACCCAAAGTCTCCAAATTCATTTACAATTCTCTTGCCACTGTACTGATAAATGGCAGTGATGACTTATGGATGAATGGCACCTCAGGTATTGAAAGGTCTGTGTGTTGTGTGTATGAACAGACTAGACTTAGTGGGGAGGAGGTAGTGGATTGCAGAACTGTTGATGATTGTCTTGTTCCTTTTCTGCGAAATTATCTTATTTGATTCACTCCTGAATCATCCTTCCCATTTGACTTGTGTTTCAGGAGCTACAGAAGGCCCAAAAGAAGAAATATATTAAGAAGAAGCCTTTGCTGAAGGAGGTAGAACAGCCTCGCCCTCAAGACTCCAATCTCAGCGTGGCAATACCAGCCCAAACACTGGTTACTGCACCCCAGCCTCTTGCCTCTTCCTCACCCCTGCCTCCTCCTGAGCCTAAACAAGAGGCTCTGTCAGGAAGTCTTGCTGACCATGAGTATACCGCTCGACCCAATGCCTTTGGCATGGCCCAGGCAAACCGCAGCACCACACCCATGGCCCCCGGCGTTTTCTTGACCCAGCGGCGCCCTTCAGTTGGGTCCCAGAGCAATCAGGCAGGACAAGGTACAATAGCCATATGGTAGTAATGAGGGGTCTAAACCTTAAGTTTAGACCATGGAGAGATGTTGACTGATTTTAAGTGGTGACAAGATCAGGTTTAAGATCTTTCTAAAGAAAGATCCTTTGATGACCAGAGTGGAGGGTGGGCTGGCAGTAGGAAAGGTACAAAGGAGACACATACATAGATTCATGCAGAAATGAAGAGAAGCTGAAGATCTGGCCAAGGTAGTAGAAAAGGGAAGGAATATAGTGATCAAATTTGGAAATAATCTAATGAGACATAGGAGATGATTCATATAGGGAGGAAGAAAGAGGCAAGAAAGAGTTAGGGGTCTGATTGCCCCCTTTCCTCACTTGTGCCCTCAAAAATTCAGGCCATACAGTCCATAGCTCAAGGGTGCTGAGGTTGGTGTGATGTGTTGGGGTTGATGAATATAGGAGTTTCTAATGAAAAAAGGCCCTGGCGATGGCAACATGAGGAGGAACATTGGGCTATAATCACTAATAAGACCTTTTTCTAGCCCTTGTGGGTGTGATAAAAGGACATGGAAGCACACTCATCTCCCTGCAGAATTTTGAAAGGAAAGTGATTGGGCCCAAAAGAAATCAGTGGGGAAAATGAACCAGACAAATTATAACCAGGGAGTTTTTTCTGCTGAAGGAGGCCATAGGCAGAAGAATTAAGGTATGTGGTGTTGGATGGAAGTAATTAAGGAGGGATTCTTGTCCAAATGGCCTAAGGATGAAGAATCGTTGTGGGGAGAGAGAGTAGGGATGGCCTGAGGACAGTTAGTGCTGGAGTTATTGCTGAAGCTTTTGCCATACCCTTTGCTTACTTTTCCCTTCCCCCACAGGAAAGCGTCCCAAAAAGGGCCTGGCCACAGCAAAGCAGAGACTTGGCCGTATCCTGAAAATCCACAGAAATGGCAAGCTACTTCTGTGAGCCGAGTCCCCTTGTGTTCCATCCCTCACCCCTTCACCCCCATTGCCTTCTCCGTTGTCAACTTTCGGGGCACTTCTGGATCCTGTTTGCCCCGGACAAGGTGCTGAGGCGCATTGTCCTGCTTTCTTGGGACTGACCAAAGGCATGGACACCCCCATGGATCTTTCCACTGGTTCCCCTCAACTCCCTTTCCCACTACCACTATGAGCATCCTACCTTCTTTCTCTATACCCGTGAGAAGCAGGTAAATGGGAGAAATTTCCAACTGACTATGACTAGAACCCTTATTTCTGTTCCTCCAGCCCCATTTCCCTGCTTTGTCTTTTACTCTAACCCCCTCCCAACCTCCCACCATGTAGCTGGTAGGCAGGATGAGGAGAGGCATGAAGAGATCCTGGGCCCCTGGATATTTCTGTGGCCATGAAGTGGGAGACCCAGTGCTCCACTTTGCAACTCTAACCCTCTCTCTAGAAGACACCCATGTTTCCTTCCCTTTCCCCTCCCTACCAATCCAGTGGATGTACCCACCTATAGACTTGTTTCTGGGAGAAGGCTGTGGTCTCTGCCCCCTCTTGCCAAATACTTCATGGAAAAAAGAGGAGGGCCCAGAGTCCCCTTTACTGCCCCAATGTGGGCTATTGATAGAGGTGGCCTAGAAAGGCTGAATTCACTTATCCTTAAAAGAAAGGAGATTCACTTTTCAAAGTGTGGAGAGGACAGATGCCTAGGTCTTTGACCATCCTCATTGGAGGAAGCTACTTATGGCTGGCTATACATGAAGCTCTTTGTCACAGGGTGAGCCCCAGCGATTTGCCTGGATTTTGAGGTCCTGCAGAACATTATCCATGCAGCTGTGGCTGGGCTCCAGCAGGTGTAAACCTGAAAGCACCTGTCACTGAAGCAGATAACCCTGGACCTTCTGGAGAGGGTATCGAAAGACAGTCTACCCCTGGGTCCTTCGTCAAACCTCCTTACTTCTTTTCCCACCTGAGGTCTTAGTCTGGATTAAGACCTCAGAACTCATATCTTCACTCCTGGACCTTTGCACTTGCAGACCATAGGTCAGCATTTAAGCAGAGTGCAGATGGACCACTCACTCATGAGCCCAAGTCTAGGAGAAGAGATGCCCATCTGTGAAGGAGCAGACCATCTTCCCCTCTTTCCTTTGTGTATTCTTTCCATTGTCCAGACAGTGCCCAAACCTCCCTCTTGTCTTGCCTCACTGGCAATCTGAACTTGACGGAGAATGCTCCTTTTCCCACCCCATTTTGGCACTGCCCAAGCGGAGTGTATCCTTGTCCTCTACCCTCCACTCCAACCTCACCCCAGCTTGCCTCAAGCTTCTGGGGAATTTAACAGCTACCATTCAGGCCACAGGGAATTTGTGAGGCTTCCTTTGTCTTGTGTCTTTGGTTTTATTTCTTCTCCACAGCCCCGCCTCTACTGTCCTTCCTTGGAATCAGGGGTCCCTTATTCCTGTTTGCTTTTTCTACCTTGGGGACCCCAGGGGCCAAGCAGTCCTCCATCTAGTCACACCAAAGGCAAAAAGCCTGGCTACCTCCCCCCTAGCACGTGAGGTCCCTACTCCCCTTTCCTCTGTTTCTACCCAGCTTTGCTTATCTTGGGGATTTCAAGGCAGCAGGGGGTAGTAAGGGGAGGGCAGGAGAAGCCTCTGTCCCAGTGTAGGCAACTACCTGACTAGACACAGACTGCTGTCACCAAGACCAGGTCCCCAACCCTTTTGCCCATTAACACCCCTTCTTGATCTTTCAAAGGCAGCTAAATTGCTAGCAAATCCCCCTGATTCCTGGCCTCTTTCTCCTCTGTTTCTTTGTTAGAAGTTTCTGTGGAGCTAAACTCAGCCTCCATTTGACTGGGTTCATTTAGTTTAGTAGGGGTCTCAGAGTCTTCTGTTTGTTGTTTTGTGTTGTTTCCAATGAAAAGCAAGTTTACCCTCAGAGTCATGCTTTTCCAAAGAGGCTAGTGTTTTTTGTTGTCATTTTTTTTTGTTGTTGTTGTTTTTGTTTTTGTTTTTGTTTTTTTTAATGTTTCAGGTTCTAAGTGAAGTGAGTTGGGGAGGGGTTGGAAGTGGTAGTAAACAAGGTTTAGAACATGGTGAGATAGTTAACTCTGATCTCCAATCCCCAGCAGAGAACTGGGGGTAAAATAGGGGGCAGGGAGAGAGGATTTCTATTCACCTTTAATATATTTTTACAAAAAAAAAAGCAAACAATTTAAAAACAAACCCACCGCTTCTGTACATGTCTAAATATATTTTTAGAAGTGGGTAGGATTGTGAATTTCTGATGCAGGGCCTTTTTATAAATAGGTTAGAATAGTATCATCTGGACTTTCTGTTGTTTTTTTTCCCTGTTTTTTTCTTATGTTGTGTTACTAATGTAATTTATATTTTTTTTAGATCCTCCCTTTCCTATAGAGATAAAAGTGATTTATCTTGGCAATTGCTTTGCTTGGCATTCTTTTTTCATGGGTGTTGGTGTTGGTGGAGGTGGTGGTTGTGGATGGTGGTGATGAAGGTGGTGTGGTATGGGGTCCAGAAGTGATGCCTTTTCTCTCTCTCTCCATCAGCAAATTATCAGTGAATATTTTCTTGGTACTCAGCCTTAGGTAAGAAGAGAACAGGATTCCTGCCCTCAGGAGGGACTCAGCTGAAGCAGATAATCAAAAGTATAGTGAACAGAAAAGAAAGGGTACAGCAATCCAAAGGGGGTCTCACAAGTTCAATGAGAAGGCTTTCCATAGCTTCCATGGATTGTTTTTACTTGCTACACCTGTGCCTCTTTCTGTGAATATAGGACCCCAGCCCCATGCCCCCATACTTTCTGACATCTCCTTCAGGCATCTGTGGTATGATCTGGACCTGACTACTGAGGTGGATCTAATACATCATGTTTGTTTCCTTGTGCCAGATGCTAGTGTGTGTGTGTGTGTGTGTGTGTGTGTGTGTGTGTGTGTGTGTGTGT